TTTTATATTTATACTTGGCAATTTTATATATTAAGGATTACCAAGATCTCATTGATCGCGGTTGGCGACGGTAAAATAATTTTATTTAAAGATTACTTTTAATATAATTTTTGCGATAATAGTAATCGTAATAATAAATTAATGAATTTTTGCTTTAATTAGATCTGGAGATTACGTTTATAAACCAAATATGAGAGATTGTTGTTGTCCACAATATACAATAAGGTAAATTTCAAATTTAAAATTTATTTACTAAAATTTAATATATTTAACTAAAGTGAAAATAATATAGGCGAAGAAAATAATAATATTATTATTACAGGTTGGATGCTACCAAATTCCAAGCTTCGAAATCACAAAGAAAATTAATTAGTCGATTTAACAGATATATAGAAGGAACTTACAATCCATTTGATAAAGATGATGTTTCTGATGTTGATAATACAGATAATAATAAAGCTAAACAACAACAATCAAACAAGAAGCCTACAAAAACTTTTGATATTATTGAGAGTATTCATGAGTCTGAAAAAATTGAAGGAAAACATCGATTCAAAGTACATAATTTATTCATTAATAATTAACAAATTTTTCGTTTCCAATAACACTAATACTAACAATACTATCAATAAAAAATAGATTGTACTTGAAAAATCTTCTTTTACAAAGGAAAAATATCAACTTTATTTTAAATACCAAACTAATGTTCATGATGATAAAGAATATGAAGTGAGCGAAAGTGGATTTCGCAGATTTCTTGTTGATTCTCCATTAGATGTAATATTTGTTTATCATATATATATATTTATATATATTACATAGCAAAATAATACTAATAATATATATGTCTATATGAAAAAAAAAGTATGAGCCATCATCAAAACCAAATACACCAGGATATGGATCTTTTCATCAATGTTATTATTTGGATGATAAACTTATTGCTGTTGCAGTTTTAGATATTTTACCATCATGTATTTCATCGGTTTATTTTTTTTATGATAATGATTATTCAGCTATGCAACTTGGTAAATACAGCGCTTTAAGAGAAATTGCTATGACATTGGAACTTTATAATGAAGGATTAAAAGATTTACAATGGTATTATATGGGTTTGTATTAAAATCATCTAAATAGTTCTTTTGACCATAAATAATAAATGTTTCGCAAATTCACACTTGAATTGTTAGTTACCCCGGTAACACTATTTCCGATTAATAATCAAGTCATAAACTGATTCAAGTGCTCGATATTTATTTTTGTTAAATTGTTTTTATATATATGATCATTTACCTAATTTCTGATATGGTTTTCT